CCCGGCCCCGATGAAACTGATTGCAAGGGTGTTAAAAGGGAAAGTAATGAGGGGAAATTTGAAACCTTTTGGGTAATTTTAACATATCACTAAAACTGGCTTAGTGCCAAATAAGTGGAAAAAAGGCAAAAGTTTAAAAACCCATTTACAAGGCGGTGACAGGTCCCTTTGCTTTGAAATATGGGGCCAATAAGCCTTACCTCCATAGTGGGAAAATTTATGGAATCAAAAATTCCCAAAAACAAATTTGTTGCCATCTTATAGGCTTTAAAATTTATAATGAATCTCAAAACGGTTTTAGAAAAGGGAATGAAAAATGATATTGTGTTATGGACTTCGTAAGGCTTTTTTTTAAAGTTCCCCATCAGGGCTTTTTGAGGAAAATTAAGGGGACACGGAATAGGAGGAGAAAAAATTTTTTCCCGGTTTGAGGGTGGCTGGCAAAAAAGGCAACAGTTTTTGTTAGCATAAATGGGGGGAAAAACATAATGGAGGCAAATTTACAAGCGGTGTTTCCCCAGGGGTCGTGTTGGGCCCGCTGTTGTTCCCCCGTTTACATAAAAAGACATGATGAGGGGAAAAAATTTGGACAAAAGCAAAATTTTTCTGAGGACACCAAAAAAGGGGCCCGCCAATTCATTTAATGAGGACACTTGAGCACTCCAGGATTTTAAATTTGAGTAGACTCCGCAATGGTCAGAGAAGTGGCAATGCAGTTTAATATAGCCCCAAAAGCAAAGTTTTTAAAAGTTGGACAGGAAAAAAAACCATGCCCCCATATAAAAATAAATTTTAATTTTAGAAATTTAAAACTACTGATTGTGAAAAAGATTTAGGAGTTTGGTTAGCAGTAATCTAAAACCAAAAACAACAGGCTTTGTGTTTGCAAAAAAAGCTAACCCGAAATCTTGGGGTTCATTTTTTAGAAATATAAATAATAGAAGTCCTCAGGAGTTTTTTCAATTTTATATATCCTTGATTAAAGGGCCCCTTTTTGTTAAGCTGCAAGTTTGGTCATGTATTACAGGAAAGGATATAAATGCACGGAAAACCCTACAGAAAAAGGATGACAAAATTGGGTCCCATGCATCAGAAAACCCTTTTTTATTTAGGATAGATGAGAGCCCCGTCTGCACTCTTCGAAAGGCGTAGAATTTTGGGGGGAAAATGGCGAAAGGGTTAAATGGAAAACAGGAATAAATTTAAAGGGGGTGTAAATGCATTCTGGGAAAAATTTTAACCAAGACAGGATTTCAGCAACGGTTTTTAAATTGGAAAAAAATTTAGATTCAGGAAAAGGGTATAGGAAAACATGGTTTTTGGGAATAGAGCTGTGGATGAGTTGGGGAAAAAACTCCCAAGTACCCTTACAGAGGGTAAAAACGATTAGTTTTAAAAATAGGTTGTTTAAAAATGGTGGGTGTGGGTGGGTGTGAGGTAGAACCCCAAATAGTTTGTGCTACTAGGCAGATGCCATGTTCCTTCCCTTAAAAAGGAAAAGGGGAACCCATTTGGTGGGTCATTTGGGTAAAGTCACCCAAGGGGTTCAAAGACTAACCCAAAAAGGGG